GTGTACTCTTTAAAAAAATGTGGGTTTTTCTAAGAAATTCTTATTACTTCCTCTTTTCTACAAGGTAAAATCCAGTCTCCTTAGCAGGGCATTTGCAATAAATGATACTGTGCAATATACTGTGTCATTTCTGGGCCTTTCTTGGCATCACCAGAAATCTGGGGGTCTTCCTTCACTCATCTTTTCTGTTTAATCCATGCTCAATCACTCAACTAGGCCTAATCATTTCTCTTTTTGAAAGCTCTCTGCCTTTTGAAGGTGTACTGTCTTCCATTTTCCTGCTGTTACTACCCTAGACCAAGTTCATCATCCCTCTGTTACTTAGCCAAGCTCCTAACTGGCAGCCCTTTCTCCAGTCTTTCTTCAGTCCCTTCTTTTCTTCTTGAAATGCATTCTTTAAAATGCAAACAACACCTTTTCACTATCCTGCTATATCTATTCAAACCTGCCTGTTGAACTTAATCAAAAAGAAAAAAAGCCAATCTCTTAGGAGGGCCAGCCCCTCAGTCTTGACCTTTGCCTTTTTCTTCATGTTCCTTCCTTTCCACTCAGATTCAATTTCCACTAACTTCTGTCCACTGTTCAGTTTCTTGGGCTAATAGTTCTTTTCTCTCTGACTCTCTAAACTTTCTTCTACCTCCTCTGTCCACGTCTTCAAATTCTGCCTGGCTTGTTCTTTCAGGGTAAAGAGTCATAAATAATAAGAAACTTATGAGATAATGTCATATATAACAGAGGTAGCGAAGAGAGAGATGGGAATCCCAGAAGAGTTCAAATATAAAAAATGCTAAAGAAATTGTATAAGGAACAGTGTTTAAGGAAGACAATGGAAGCAAGAAAGTGCTGCACTGGAAAATTGAAAGTATCTGATGTCTCAGTCACTTTCTCTCATCACTGGGACAGAATACCTAATGCCCACAACCTGCAGGAGGAGAAGTTTATTTTGGCTCACAGACTGTAGAAGTTTCAGTCCATAGCTGGATGGCTCTAAGACAAGATGACATGGTCGAGAAGCACAGCAGCGGAGGGCTGCTCACCGCATGGCAGACATGAAGCAGAGAAGTTAAAGGAGGATCTGAGGAGGAAGATAATCCTGTCTAAGCCACACCCCCAGTAACCAATCTTTTTGCTCAGCCTCCCCCCCTTCTCCTTATTAGGAAGTAAGTCAGCTAGATAGCACCATAATTCAATTACCTTCCAAAAGTCTCACCTATCAGCACCTCAAAGCAGGTTTTGAGAGGATATCTAGACATAAACCATGACACTGAATCCATCTGGTGTATACGGGTGGCGAAGAATTGGAGAATGGGTAGTACAACAAAGCTAGAAAGGGCAAAGGCCTTTGAAATCTTTTTCTTTTTTGGTACTGGGAATCAAACTCGGGTCCTTGCGCTTGCAAGGCAGGCCACCGAACCACTGAGCTAAATCGCCAGCCCACGCCTTTGAAATCTAAGGGAATGAGTTTAGTCCTTATTTTGGAAGCAAAGCGGGAAATGTGAACCAGTTTTTAAATTGGGGAGTAACAGTCTCTATATTTTAGTAAGGCGTGACCAATGGAGTACAAAGGGCTGTAGGTGGGGAGATGAATGATCTTGGGGAAAGATGATGAGAGCTGGACCAGGTAGCAGCAGGAAGATCTGGCTGGAAGTACTAGATTCAAAAGACATGTGGAGCTCTGAAAATGTGACCCTGATGATCAAATGCAAGGGAAAACAGAGATAGACCCAGGAATAAGAGAGGACACCAACTTCTCACCAGAAGTACCTGGGAATACAGAGAGGTCACTGGCTAAGGTGAGAATCACAAAAGGAAGCACGCTGGAGGAAAGAATGAATTCAGCTGGGGATATTTTTAGGCTAGGGTGCTAACTCAGAAAGCAGGAGTGCACAATTAAGTTCTGACACAGCACTAGCTACAGCATATAGCACCTTGCACAGCAACCACTGCTCAGGTCACTTCATCCTGGTGCCTATACAGTTGACATCTGTTTTCCATGTTCCAACAAAAAATATGCAAATTGTTTGCTGGGCAGGCAGAGTCGTAAAAGCAAAGGGAGAGTGATCAGTGAGTGAGAGAAGAAAGTCCATCTTGCCACGGCCAAAACTGTCACAAGTGTCCTCCCTAAGTTTGGTTTAGTCAGTTATACTGTTTATCTTCCTTCAAGATTCCTCCATTTTCCAATGGCCATCAACATGAACACTCCAAATAACTTCTCCTGTTCTTTGCTCTGAACCCCTGAGGCACTTTGAAGTCCACAGTGTGCACATTTTTCACATAGTTTACCAGTTCCTTCTTTGCTTTTGAATTTGCAGGTGTACATCTCATCTCCCTAACTAAATTTCTAACTTTTAAGGAGCCTAGTGTATGCCAAGTATTTAATGTTGCTGTTGTCACAGTGCCTAGTACAGTCCCAGGTGCAAAATAAGTTTTTAAAAACTACAAATTTGATTGAAACTCATTGTGAATTTGGGGGAGGGAAGGTAGAAAGAAGAATAGGCAATAAACTCTGTGAAAGGACATAGTGTGACCAGCAATGCCATGTTGAAACAATATTGGTCCCTAACACAGAAAGCAACATATGCTAACGTAACAATTGCCCCACATGCTCATGGCCCAGCACTGCAAAAATGAATTAATTATTTAATCTAGTTGTCAATGGGTTAAATTCATTTTCCTGGGACCTCTTTTAGTTCATATTGGTAAAATAAAATACAGAACTTATCATTTACAGTTATTTTAATAGTACTGAAAAGCAATGGCAAAGCGGAGGAAAATCTTTCACATCCTTTTCATTAGTTCTGCTGGCATGGCCATCACAACGTTTGGGCAATTTGGAAGGTATTTGTGATTCAGCTCTTGATTCTATTATTCCCCAGTCAGAGGAAGTGGGACAACCCCAAGTGAAATGGTAGCTGAACTGCGTTCTTGTCATGATGGAGAAAGATGTCTGTGGAGAGAAGAGGAGAAAAATAGAAAGCTGTGTTTGTGCTGTGTGATGCTGATTGTTAATAGGCCCCTCACTATAAGATTTCCCTGGCTGTCCAGCCACCAGCACCTGGGACTTTCCCATCAACATTATTATTTAAAAAGGATCCCCTGCTAGGATCTCTCCTTTCCCTCTGTAGTGCACTGGAGTAACAAGGCCTATAGCTTGTAGTTTTCAATGGGGGTACAACTGGGAATAGAAGGAGTGGCTCAAAAGTCGATCAGTCTCTGGGTGACAGTGAGAAGCAAGCTCTGGAGGCTAGCAAAGATGGGGAAAGGCACTATGACGCTTGCTTTGTAGTTTTGCTGAAGATTCAATTTCCTCACTTGCTTTAGACCATACCTTTCTCCTTCTGAAGTTCTCAAGGGCATGGAGTAAATAGTAGAAACTCCTTCATGACCCTAGTGGCAGCAACGCCCGTTGGCTCTGGATCACATTCCTTTCCAGACACCACAGGCCTCAGGTTACAAAGGCCTCCTTGCACAATTCTTAGGGGAGTAGGCATGGAAGCTGCGCTAAGATGTAGAGGAGTGCCTTGCATGTGTCAGAGATCCAAGTGTGGCCAAATGCCAAGCAGCCAGGTGGTGATGGAAATAGAATCAAATGTCTCAGGTTCTCTGGAGAAGCAGCTTTCTTTTTTTTTCTTTTTTTTTTTTTTTAAATTTTTTCCCCCTCTTTTCTCCCAGGGCTCATAAATAAGACTTGTCAGGCTGCATCTCCTTGGATAATTTGATGTGAAATTTTCAAAAGTTTACTTGGCATACCTGTGTTTTAGTTTACTGGATGATGTTGAGACTTCAAAACCATAATGAAGAAGCTGAAACTAAAACTTCTTTTATTCCTCTGTTTTTCACAACTAGCTTTCTGATTGTTAAATGCTGTACTATGTGTAAAATGACCTGAAATATTACATAATTTTTGAAATGAATATGGAAGCTAAGAGATATTACCACAGCTCTGTTTAAACTCTGTGCCATGATTAAATGTTTTTCCTGTTGATAATTATTTCATAATTTTCTTTTACTAAAGAAAATCTGCAGAAATATATGTGACATCTTTTTAGGAAGAACACTTTTCAGTTGGCTGAAACCAATCTAATAGCCTAGGAAATATCAATAGGATCTTTTAAGGTCGATGGTGGGGCTGACAACTATGCAAATTAGGACTATGTTTATCTTAAATAATTCTTCATTTTACTTCGTGTTCTTTCAGAATTTGTATCCTTGGACACAAATTACTACATGTATAATGAATTCAGTTGGAAAATGTGAGAACTTATGTCCAGGAAGTGCCTAGGCTCAAGTTTGCCAATTAATTGGAGAGCAAGACATATATAGAATATAAATTATGATTCCAAATGAAATACGCATTCATGGGATAAGTCAGAGAAGGCTGGTCTAACAGCTGTGGTAGGTAAGAAGATTAAGTTGGCTACTAGTGATATGTATAATAGCCTCTCACCTATCAGATAAAGTGTTTACTCATGTGTACACGAGCAGGTATATGTTCACATATTCACAAGTAAAGTATGTCTACTTGAACTGGAAAAGACAAAGCCATAGGAAGACATACTGTATATTTATTACAAAGCAAAAAAGTTTATACATTGCATAAATGCTCTTTTTGTTTAATGGTCTACTACTAATCAGGCTTCAAGGCACAATAGCTTGTCAATTTCCCTAGATTTATTTTTATTGTTTTCTTAGCCCCCTGGACATGTTGTGGATGCCTTATCTTGACTTTAGCCAAAGCTTATTTTGTCTGGAGCTTCAGATGGCTGAGAGGCTGTAGTGACCTTCATTGAGTACCTGTATTTGCCATTAACCACAACAAGGTAAGAAAAGGAGTTACCTTCATTTTAGAATATTCCAACTTGGAAATTAACATAGTTTAAATATTAACCAATAAATTCATTGAACATGAATGGAGGATAAAGTGTTTTAGAAAAACCACTAGGCTGTGATTGAGAGTACTGACGAAAGGTTCAGTTCCCAGCACTAAGCAAGACACTTACCCCTGTGCTGATGTCTTTATCTAGAAATGGAGGTATTGGAGTGGATAATCTTTTAGTTCCCAGCAATTCAAAAATTCTGTGGCATATGACTATCACAACTGTCAGAGAACATTACAGTCAATAAATGTAGATGAGTTAGGACACTGTTTTTTGTGGATATTATTTTAGGTTAAGTCTAAACTTCGTTTTCATTGACTATAAAAATGAATGAGGTCTAAAAGGACCAATGAAATTTTAATTTTCAAGGTCTTAAGAGGTTGGGCCATAATCTAAATGTGAAAACCATAGTAACTCCTCTAGATGGAAGTTAAATATGTGCTATAAAGTTAATGTACAAGCAGCACATTTTGTTTTTATCTGGAACTCTCCATGATTTACATGCTCTGAATTATTGCTACTTTTATAGACTATGAGAGTATTGACCTTACCGCTGTGATATATTTATTCATGAATTGTTGGAGGCCAGAGAGCATTAAAATTGTGCCCCATGAATATTAGACCTCTTTCTTCCCTTGTCTATTGCCCCTGGGGTCCCCTGTGGGTGAATGATCTACCTGTCAGAACACTGGACTGCTTCTTCCACTGAGGGAGTAGCACAGCAAATTCTCATCTTGCAGGCAACATTCAACAAGCCTGCCTGAACTGTCCTGTGCTGACTCTGGGGTCTGCTTGTGCTAAGACTCAAGGGAGAACAAATGGAGATGAGTCAGGGCCTGGCACCAACACTGAGCTCCGCCCAACTAGTAAACAGAACAGCTATTTTGCTGTCACTTGGAGCCTCTCTGGGTCTCAAGATTCCAGGAAGAAACAAATTCTTTAGAAGCCAAAACCCCAAGGCAAGGAAAAAAAAAAAAAAAGAAATGTCTGCATCCCCAGCAATGATTTCATTGGCACAAGTCCCTTAGAAGGGGAGGAGTTGTAGATGGTTCCAGCTGAACTGTTTGGCTTTTCAAACATGAGGCCTTTCACTGTGGCCTTTTGCCTTTGAAGGCTTGAAATTTCAAAACTACTCTTTAGAATTAATCTAGTTGCTAAATGGATAGTACATTTTTTTCTACCTCATTACTTTTCTTTGTAGTTTTTGTATTATCTTCCTTTCCTCAACTTTTTTCTTAGTTTACTCTTTTCCTGTCATTCAGGGGAGAAGCTATTAAAAGAAATACATCCAGGGCTGGGGATGTAGCTCAGTGGTGCTGTGCATGCCTGGTAGAGTTCAATCCTCGGTACCAAAAACGAAAGAAAAGAAGAACATCTACATAGAAGAATATTACTAAACAACAAATAAGAAGTACTTTAAGAAAGTAGTTTTGCACTGACCACTTGAGATACCTGTGTTGTTCTCATATTCCCTATACTTGAGGAGAGGCCAGGGAGGGAGTAAGAACTTTGGAAGTGTCCTTGAATGTCTCTGTGGTTCAGCTCTCTGATAAGCCTGACTATCTACTGGAAAAATGTATCACAGTTTGTCTCTGCTGGGACTCCCTTTGGTCTTCTGTCCACTCCATAGGAACAATATATTACCCAAAGATATCTGTGACACAACCTCCATGCCTGTAATGTTCTTCCTAAGCCTGGAGATACACTCATTTTGTGGACCTCTCCTTCTTTTCTTTTAGACACCATCCATGTTCTGTTCTGAGCTTAGCAAATGGTATGTACCTGAAATGGAGGCATAGGTGACTGATTCCTTCCATGTCCTTCAGATAGCTTTCCACCTCTGCTCTGTTGATCCCTGAACCTCTGTTACTTTTCCTTCTCCAATGTTGAGATCAGGGCTGGGCTGGATATTATGATGTCATAGAGTGGAATCCTTGTTCTTCCCCAGATCCAGCAGAGAGCATCCTGGACAGTCCCTTAATTTCCATTTATTCTATCACTAAAAAATCTTGCTAGGGAGCTCAAGGAAGATCCCTGGCAAGTCATAAACTGCCTCACAGAATCATGTGATCTTACTGAGGGAGGAAATCTTGGATACTGACTAGTGACTAGATTCTTAACCCCCTTATTTTACAGAGGAAGATAATCGAGGACCTGTTGGTGAAGTGACAGATCCTACTAGAACCCAGGGACCCTCAGTGTTGTTCCACAGCCTTCCTGGCCACACTACATTCACATCCTTCTTTCTGGATATGGTCAACATCGGGGCTTTCTGTTAAACACTTGAATTTTACCTGACTCTAACCATGACAAGCAATCATTCAGATGATGTGGGAGAAAATAGTCTCAGTTTTTCTGACAACCTATAAATACCAGGAATAGCTGGCTCTGGTCTTAGCCTACACTCACAAATCTTGAGCCCCCATACCAATACTAGAATAAAAAGTACTGTGATTTCTGAGCAACCAATATTTTCACTGACGTTTGATAATAAGCAACAAAGTTTAAATAAATACAAAGAATCTGTGTTTCCTGCAATGCCATATCAGCTCCTGCTATTTGCTGAGGGGTCAGGAAGGAACAATCAGTAAAGACATAAATTCTCAAAACAATTTCATTCTTCTTTCTTTCACATATTTTGCTTTTTCTACACATTATTATTCCCTTATTGATACAGGAGGTAGGGCCTGGCCAAGCTGGCTGGAGAAATAAGCAGGACCTCTCAATTATAAGATTCCAGGGTGGAGCAAGAATATTCTCAAGACCCCTTATGTAGAACTTCTCAGGAGTTCCAAACAGATGTAAATGGCATAAAAGAAAAGAGAAGCCAAGAGGAGCTTGCTATTGCCCTGTGTGTATAACTTTTGTTAATTTTATCCTTTTCACCCTGTTTGGCCTAAGTTTGCTCTACAGAGCTAGTTCTTCCCTTACCTTTCACCCCTCATTTTAAAATAAACTTTTGGCATCATTCTTGGCTTGTCTTGTCCAATTCTTTGTTAGAAACAAGAAAGACCTAGAATACTTTTGTTTGTTGAGCTATCCCCTGCCACACCAGGGATTGAACTCAGGTCCTTGTGCTTGCAAGGCAGGTGCTGGTACCACTGAGCTAAATCCCCAATCCTGTTGAGCTATTTCTAAAAGAACTACCCAACAACATTATGGTTTCAAAATAATTATCTGGGTTGCCTGAGACAATTTGTATCTGAATCAAGAAATTGTGCTTTCAGAATCCCTCAAGAGAGGAAAATATATTGTACTTTTTAAATAGCAAAAACTAACATTTTATATCATGCTTCAGCATTTAGAAGCCATTTTTACATATTATTTTAATCTTCATGTCTTGGTGAAGTACAATTTTATGGATAAGAAAATTGTAACTTACTGAGGTTGTGACTTGCACAAGATCACAAAGCTAATTAAATAGAAAGTTAACATTAAATACAAACCAGATCTTCCAACCAAGTGTTTTTCTCACTCCAGGGTTTCCTCAGGGTGGGAGGAATTGTCATTTGGTCCCAGAATACACTTAAAGGCAGTTGCATTAAGCAACCCTTTGGGTAATGAAGAAAAATTATTCCCATGGGTTATAAATACTATTTTACTAACCTCCTAAATGTCTTTATAAAAACTTAAAGAAATGGTTAATGATCACTAATTTCAAATTTTAAACATACAATTGCTCTTAGGCTCAATTCCACATACATGACTACTCCTGAGGGAACCACTATGAATATGAACAATATTTAGCAACAAAAATTCTTTGAAACATTCTTTAGAATAGAAAACAAATTAAAAACTCAACATTAGAAAAGTGATAAAAAGGATTATGCTGAACTCATAAAAGCAATGTTATGGATCAGGGTTTTCAAAACTTTGATTATTCATATGCAATCTTTGGAATGTTGCCATCCTGCACAAATTTTTACTCAACATTTTCCTTTAACTCACACATTTCACTAAGTATTTAAAAATATTTTAAAATCACAACATAGGTAGAAATACAGTACCATTTACCTTAAGAGTTGGGTAATGGTTTAAACAAATATAATTAAAACAAAGTAATTTTATTAATGCATTGATTTGGTCCTAATCCTTAGCATAAAACATAATTGATTTAACCAAATCATATCAATATCCCTTATTTCATCAACACTTCTTTCTGCATTAAAAAAAAAATCTCTGTTCGCATCACAGCCCTATAGTAGATTCAATGGGGAAAAAATGATGTCTGATTATAAATCACAGTTAGATGTCATTATGATTGGGATCTACAATGTGCCATGAAAGGCACGTAGGCCACTATCTCCTTACTCTTCCATTGCGACCTACTCTGTGTGAGGACTATGTTTTACCTCTTGTTTTCATTTCTACTTCTTTTTTTTCTTCTTTTCACTTCTACTTTTTCCTTGTATTATCTTTAATGAGTGGAACTTTTACATTAATAAATAAGTTACATTGTGTTGAAGGCTTGATTGCCAGCTGATGAGAGACTTTGGAAAGCAATTGGATCATGAATGCTCTAACTCCATCTTAATCATCTATTGATGGATTCATAACTTGATGGTATATTGGGAGATGACAGAAACTTAAGAGTGTGGAGTCTAGTTGGATGAAGCAGGAACCAGGACCATGGCTCTGAAGACTCTATTTCATCCTGGCTCATCCTCTCTGGCTCGGTATTTCTGCATCCTGTTTGCTTGAGGTGAACATATTTCCCCTGTTATACCCTCTCTGCCATAATATTGTACCTCAACACAAGATCAGAAGAAATGAATCCAAGTGACTATGGACCAAAACCTCTGAAATCATGACCCAAAACAAACTCTTCCTCCCATAAATTATTTTTAGCTATTTGTCACAGTGACAAAAAGCCAACAGAGATATATTCATATACAACTTCCATAAAAAATCAATAATCCCTAAAACTTACTTTAAAGATCACTTTGTTTAGAACATGTTTGCACGGCAGGGCATGTCAGGGTTAAGGCTTCTTTTGCCTAAGTGGTCTCCTCTATTTGTTATCTTAGGGGAAAAAAAATCTCCAAGATTCTCCCTTGTGTTTTTGTCTTGGCTGAGCTTACACTTAGTACTTCACATTCCACGGAGGTAAAGACTATACTGCTTCCTTTTAACATTAATCTTTGTAATAATATCCAAGTATGACCTATCCTGAAGGCAGACACAGCCTCACACCTGGAGCACATGAGGCTCACATGCAGTGGGATGGGGGAAGTCCATACTTCTATCAGCAAATTTTCTTGAGGCCTAATGAAAATTAGAGATATTTGTAAGTCAAAGGTCAAAGATTTCTGATCAGTTATGTAGGGGGATTTTTCTGGGTAAAATACTAATCATTGTCAATACTTAAATTTCATCCCAAGGGAGAATTTCTCATACTGTAGCCCATAGACCACTTACACTAGAAAACCTACTTTACTAATATATATGAACATGTGTGTATATGTATATGTGAGTGCATAGATATATAACCATCTATCTATGGGCTCAACCAACTGCAGATAGAGAATATTTGAAAAATAATGGTGTCTATACTGAATTTGTACAGATTTTTTGTTATTATTCTTGAAACAATTTGGTTTAACAATGATTTACATAGCATTTACATTGTCTTAGCTATTATAAGTAGTCTAGAGATGATTTAAAACATAGAGAAGGGTTTGAATAGGATATGTACAAATAAGAGTTGTGTATCTTCAATTTTGGGTATCCATGAAGATATGGTGGGAAAACTACATGGGGGAGTGCAGAGCTTCTTGTACCATTCCCTGGTGCCTTCAAATTTCCAGTGATGGGTGACAGACCCATGAGTAGGTAAGCCCTCCAGGGGATTCTGATGTACACAAATGCTTGAGATTAATTGCTGTAAGCCAGAGGTTCTCAAATGTTAGAGCAGAACATCAGAATGCCTGCAATTTTTGTTAAAACATAGATTGCTGGCCCCAGTTATTAAGTTTCTGGTTTTGGGGGAGAAAGTCCCAAGAGCTGATACTTTGAACAACTAGGGCTAATGATTGAGTGCATGTTTTGAGAGTTACAGCACTTGCCCCAAGAAACTAGGCAGATTCAAAAGGGATTTCCAAAGTCCCAGGAAATATGGTATAGGACCCCAAGTCTTGAGTAAACTCAGAAGGTAAATTATCAAGAAATATTGTCTTATTTTGTTGTTTTTGGTGTTTTAATTAAATGTTTTTTCCTACAAATTACTTTTATTTCCCCACCAAAATGCTTGTAGTCTACATCCTTACACTCATCCTTGGATTCTCCAAGGTTAAATATCATTTTTTCTTTATTTTGTAACTTTTTAAATTAAAAGAACACAACTGTTTGCTGGTTTTTCACATTCTTACATTAATTTGATTTCCAAGATCTATTGAACACTAGTATCAGCATAGCAAAAGCTGCCAGAGCTCAGCCTGCCAAATTGGTATGAGATATCAACAGATTATGTTGTAGGGACTTTAATCAATCCTTAGTGACTGTGAAGTTGGGCTCTCTTTTAAAGAATGTTATGAAGATTCAACATAATCCTGAAAAGTACTTCCAAATCCAGGCTCTCTTCCAAACAAAACTACTTGTGTGTAATAGAAATTTCTGTAGAATTCAAAGATATTGGTAATGTTCATTCTCACGAGATCTACCTCATGGTACTCACATAAATCATATTTCCTCAAAACAAAGTCAGGACTAGATCCAACAGGATTAATTTTAAACAGTGCTAATGACATTATTAAAAGAAAATATAAGCCAAGCTACAATAAAATATCTCTAGGTCAATAAATGCCATTTAAATCAAATGCTCTAAAATTATTGGCCTTATAAGGTTAAAAATAAGTGATCAGCGAGCCAAGAAATACAATGCTTAAGTCACAAGAG